ATGTGATTTTTCACATGTTTTTGTTTTAATCTCCTGTAATAAATAATACCGCTTAAGATACAGGAATACATGATGTCAGATTCAATTATATATGTCAATGTTTTCACAATACATTGCAATAGCTCACAGATATTGCAAAGACAATTCTGGAGAGGCCTGTTTTTATTAATATTTTTCAACATCTAATATGAATACGAATAATACGAATCACACATCACGCTTGTGGAGTCGTAAGTTCTATGATAACAGTTTCTTCTCTTGCACTTCTTGCTTGTGGAACTCTCTTACGTCTTCCTACTTTGCAGTGAAGTTTGATATTTAAAAACTTAAATGCAACTTCAATCGTTATCATCTGTCTACTTAATTGCTTTTCTTTTACTGTTCACTCTCCTTCATAATGGTTATTCTTAATCTCATATTCGCTGACATTCGGTTATCCCTTGCGTCTTAAGGGCTTTATTGCCTTGCTTGGGGTAAAATGATTTCTTACAAATTTTTCATACTTAAAATAATTATGTATTCCCATTTGAACACCGTCGAATTAACGTCGGGCGAATTGAGGTCATTTGATTTCAGGGTCATGCGATTTCTTCGAACAATCGATGGTCTCACGAGGACGTGTGGCGTTCCGCCCTCACATCTTATATAAAAGACAATTGTGTAACTCCCTCACATCCTGTTGTCTTGAGTTTTTATATGCCAAGTTCAATTTTATATGTCAAGATCAAATCGTCATCCGCTGACGTCCAATTCTGCACATGGGGGCAATAAGGATATCACGTACTTAAATCCTTTATGTTCTTTTGCCATTCTGTTGTGACGCCGAGTGCATCTCGGAAAAAAATTAGTAACATGTCAGTGTTTTATTGCTTAGCGAAAATCTACTTCTTTTGGTTTTTAAATTTTGTTTAATAAAGGACCATAAGCTTTTTACTGGATTAATATCTGGAGAGTCTGGAAGCAAATCGTAGAATTTGGCATCATTTTTGACAAGATGTACAATAGTCAGCATTGTTTTGCATGACATTACACTTAAGCTCAAAGCTTAAACGTTCTAATATATGCCACACAGAAAACGTCTTGTCCAAGAATTCATAACACAATTCAGTGCGGTCACGTTGACACCTTCATCAACGTTAAAGCGACCTACAATTTTACTTTATACAATACTAACCCAAGGATATTTTGTAGAAAGATAGAGAGAAGATGTTTTCTTCGATCACTATAATCTTAACCCTGCCAGGTCTCGGATCAACTTTTATCTTCTCTCAACAACATGATTTCGTGAATCTCAAGATTGTGTGTCTCTTGGGTCTTGTATTGAGTGAACGAAAGTAAAAAAAAATGTACATGATTACACCTCTTCACTGTTGTCTTCTCAGAGAAGGTTAAATTTCCAGGAAGAAGACACCTTGTCTTTAATTTCAGTTCCATCTTATATAGCTCGGCACTCAACGATAAAAAAATTACACTGGTTAAAAAAAAAAAAAAAATAATCAAAATGGTGTCGAGACACCAAACATCTTTTATATCCAATTTGAGGACCCTGAATCTGAAAATGACATTACTTTTTCTTGGTTAGCTACCGTCTTGCTGTAATGAAATACCTCATTTTTAGAAAAAAAAAGCACTTTTTGCATTTGCATTTAATCTGCATCGTTACACTTACACAATCTAATATATTTAAGATATTTTGCACCTCTCAGTAGCGAAAGTGATAATCAGTCATTTGTATTCGATATTATATTGGTTGCTTTCGGAAAATAAAATTTTACATCAACACCGACCACATATTCAACACCAAATTCACATCTCTTAATTTCACAGTCAGATGTGAGACGATGTGGAGATTTCTGATGTAAGACAGATATAACGTCAACAGAACTAGCCACCAAATTTAGTAATATTTTGTCTGGCAATCCATGAGTAAATCTATTGAAGATTATATTATCCGCATGGAACATTTCCCAGAAAATTATAAAATATAAAAAAAATAAATAATAATAATAATAATAATGATAATAATAATAATAATATTAATAATAATAATAATAATGATAATAATATGAATAATAAAATCGTAGAAACCTCTCAATTCTTATTTGAACCAACAAATATCTGTCTGTTTATTCAGAAATATTATTTTTTCAATAGCAATTAGACC